AACAAAATATGTCATAACAGTCAACAACTTTCAGTTTATGCCTGTGTGTAACTTCTTAACGGACAAATGTGTTCAAGGGAATAAGAACATTCATTATCAAAATCCAGTCACACAGAGTCTTTAGGTTACCTCCTTTATTCCCCTTTATGTTTCTGATAAACAGCATTATTTTTCTATCTAAGGTGTACTGTATTTGAATTCTGTCTGTTAAGTTTTAATTCATTAGGTTTCATGTCTTCTGTTTCACTGTGCACACATCAGTTGTCATGTAACCTAAAATTCAGGTTGAAAGAAGCAATCATTTAGCACTCATTTACGTGTTTATTTCAAACTCTATATTTCATGACAACCTTTAGAGAAAATCACAAACAAAGAACAGTAATAACATATTAGCATGGTGACAGCAAACTTGATGAGACACTGGATTCACAGGTTTACCTTTAACATATTATTTCGGATCAGTCATTCAGAGAAATACCTTATTTTCAAAGCAATAGTAGAAAACAGAGCTTTAAAAAAGATTTAAATTAGTACATAACTGGCAAACATTGGACTTATTTGTAAAAAAATATTATTAGGAGCAATTGCTGGTGGAAAAAAGCACAATAAATTACAATTGCTTTTCATACGTAGTAGTATAATTATAATCACAATGTGGCAGTAATTATTTACATTGTACAATAACTGTTCAAAAGTTAACTGGTGTTAAAAACAAACTGTACAGTGGTTTTTATGTGCATTATTTAAAAAAAACATTTGTCAGAAACTTTTCATGATCATAAAGCCAAAGAAACAGGGATTTTAAGTGAAAAGAAAGGGGTTTTGTGGCAAAGAACGCATTTTTAAGATAGCAAGGCATATCATATCACAATTGAAATAAGTTTTAGCTTGCTGCATCTTTACGATGGAAAGATTTTATTCCTAAAAAAATACAGTACTTTTTCTCGAATTTCTTTTGTTTTCAGTCCATAGATGATTGGATTCAATGCTGGGGGGAAAATTAAAGTCGACACCCCCATGAACCTCCTTAAATGTGATGAAACATTCTTTATTCTGTATGAGATGATGGTAAAAAGACCCAAACACTCCAACAGGAGAAAAACAGTCAGATGTGTAGCACACGTCTGCAGAGCTTTGGCTTTTGTGTCTGATCGTTTGGATCTGAAGCAAGCGACAAGGATCTGGAGATATGTGTACAAAATCATCCCATTAGCTATCACTTGTGAAAGAGCGACCAAGAAAAGCCCATAAATGTTATTGATGGTTGTGTCGGCACAGACCAGAGTCAGCAATGATGGATTATCACAGTAGGGGTGTGTCAGCTCAGACAGACAGCGGGGTAAACGCAACAGCAGGAAAAAAAGCACACCTATTGTGACTAAACTACTCACCCATACAGCTGTGATGATTCTCATAACATGAGCATAAGTCATAACTGTGTTGTATTTCAGCGGGCAACATATGGCAATGTATCTATCATATGCCATAGCAGTCAGAATAAACACTGTACCTGATGCATAGATGTGGATGAAGAAAGCTTGGACAACACAAGCAGAGTATTGCATTGTCCTGCTGTTTGTTAGTATGTCTTTAATGACTTGTGGGAATAATGCTGTGGAGCCTATAAGGTCATTGATAGGAAGGTTCAGCAGAATTAGATACATCGGCTGATGCAGAGATTTGTTCAGTACAATGGTGAGGATTAGAATAAGGTTGCAGAAAAGTATGATCATGTAGCTCAGAGTTGCAAAAAGAAATGCAGGAAGGGCATTTTCAGAGGAGAGATTAAAGCGATTTAGCACTAACACAGATGATGTGTTGTACAGGTCATTCATTTTTATACTGTATCATTAATAATTTAATTTAAGTATTATAACTATTTCAAGCACAGCATTATTTCACAAAAAGCACAGGGGACTTAATAAGACAGGAAATGCATACAAGACAATGTTGTAAAAAGTGTCATATCTGAGTTACAGTTAGCAAAGTATAAATTCTCACTGCCAAGGACAGAACTTACCAAAGTAATGCCTGAATATGTCCACGCCACTTTGAGTCCACATACATTTCAGTTTAACATGTCACATCATATATCATATACTGTGCATATATAACAAGTTACAGGCTTTTGGATTTACAGCTTGCACTGAAAATCCAAAGAAAACAACAAACAGAAAACAGAACATTCATTCACTTCCAAGCTAAATACATAGGAAACATGTGCTGGATCATCACTACCTTACACTGGCGATACTGACAATGACTACCTAGTAAGATGTTCAGACAGATTAGCCGCTTTATATGAGTGATTTATGCCGAACACCAGAAGCTCCCTGGAGTCTTCTGGTTCATCATAAAGTTGATTGTTATGGCAGTGACCTAAGTGCCATTGGCTCACAAGGGGCTTTGTAGGAATAATACATGTATTCATTATCCCATCACCACCTACATTACATAAACAAATAAAAATGATTGAATTGACACAGATTTAAAAAAAAAAAAAGATTTTATAATGTTAAAAATAATTAAGCGGATTGCAGAATATATGTTATTTGGTTACTTTGGAGTTGTAGAAATTTTTATCTTCCATCTGCTGGCCCAGGATGGTGGAGGCATTACCTATACAGTTATGGTAGACAACAGCGCTGACCATGGTTTCCACCCAGCGAGGCCCTTATAGGTGGCCAGACAGCAGGACAAAGAGGCCAGGACAAGGAGTACTGCTAAAGGCAAGGTTTCAAGAATATAAGGGGACATTTCTAAACTGCTCTCTATTTCTGCATTGTAAGAAGTGACAGCTCATAATACTAAAATTACTGTCCCTTTTCAGTCGTATGCGTCCCTGGAAATGTTTCCATTGTGTGTTTTTGCATGCGTAATAAGAGCTCTTTTAAATTACACTGTGTTCAACTGTCTCTGGCAGAATGACTATGTTTACATGCACAAAATATAAAATTTTTGCCCTTATTCCAAAAAAGACAATGTTCCTACAAAGCTGTTTACATGGCTAATGAAAATGAATATTCCACTAATTGTCCCATTTACATGCATACTCTGTTTAGTGTGCTTTAGCATGTCATTATAAGATCAAAATATAGAATGCGACCGGTGCTGCTTGTGCCATTTTCCTTCTTTTTATCAAAGTTGTATTTTTTCATAGTTTTCCATTGGTGGCAAACTTGTTTAACTTTGCAAACACAGCCTCCCTCTTTCATCCCTTCAGCCACCTTCTTGAAAAGTTTGGCTTTGCGATATTTGTGCATATCCAAAAATCTCTTGATATCATAATCTTTTATAATGCTTAAAAGCAAGCGTGTTTCTTCCTCCAAGCAGAAATGTGGGTTTTTCTTTTGGGCATGCATCTCTACACCCCTGCTTGCAAACTGTTGCTTAGTTGGTTTGTGTACAACGTACCCGCGGTAACACACAGTGCTGATTGTAAACAGGCAAGAGGCTGCCCAAAATAGATGCATTTTCTGATGTACTGTATACATGTCCAAAGAATACTCCTAAAACCCAAATAATATTGGCATATCCCTCATGCCTTAATTTGAAAATTCTTCTTTCGGAAAAAGGCCTATTTGGAATATCAAATCAGAATATGCTCTTTACATGACCCCTATGAAATAAAGAATATTGTCATATTTGGATTAAGAGTGGAAAATGAGTGTGCATGTAAACATGGTCAGTGAGAATCTAAACATATTTGATGACTAAAATAATGTATTCAGAAGTCTGTGCAACACTGGTGGAGGTATTAACTCTCTGTGTGATTTCTAGTCTTGGATAACATTACCTTGTACAACAATGCAGTATCATTAATTATCAGAGCTACCATTGTTTTCTGCTGTGTCAGAGTAATGGTCTCAATGAAATGAATGAGGCTGTGGTTTTTGAAACAGAGATTATCAGCGTTGTAGCGACTAATGCCAGTCAATATTAAATAAAAGTGATGATGATAATAATAAAAAAATAATAATCTTGGTATGTGTCGCTGAACCTAATCTCACTACAGAGTTTTGCACAATAACTTCAAATCAATTTTTTGCCTTCCTCACCCCCAGTTGTGGCATCAGAGTTGTAGAGTGATGGATGCTGATGACCTCCTACCCCCAATTATGTAATTAGGGTCAGATTAGGGTTTTTTTTGGTACATAAAGCTAGTGTAAGAAATAGGACTTAAAGGTTTTTTTTTCATCTTTGAAGAAGAGTTGTATTCAGCATTGTTCTGATCTCTACGCTATACCACACCAGTCAGTGCCATTTTATCTTCCTATAACCTCTCTAAAATTGTTTTTCCTGTCTCAGCACATCTGTAAAAAGTAAAGGTAAAGTTCCACTGATTGTCATACACCTGAGTGTGTGAAATTTGTTCTCCGCATTTGACCCATCCCCTGAGGGAGCGGTGAGCAGCAGCGGTGCCGCGCTCGGGAATCATGTGGTGATCTAACCCCCCAATTCCAACCCTTGATGCTGAGTGCCAAGCAGGGAGGCAATGGATCCCATTTTTATAGTCTTTGGTATGACCCGGCCGGGGATCGAACCCACGACCTCCCAGTCTCAGGGTGGACACTCTACCACAAGGCCACTGAGCTGGTAAAGGTAATTTCTGTGAAACCATGAGGATTATTACAGTGCATTTACAATTTCATATTAGATAAGAAATGACTCTTTCATTTACTCCTTGTTGAAAAACAGACCAAATCAATCTAAGAAACACTGCTGATTTTTATTTCATTTCTGCTTTTCAAATGAATTACTTAATTCTATGATGGGAGACCATGAGGATATTAACTGCACAGACAAAAAAAATCCTAGGAATCAGAAGAGTATTTTGATCAAGAGGAACTAATGTAGTTATGCAGTGTCTGTTTCTTTACATTCAGTTGTGTTTTATTTTTATGTCAGTGTTAACAGTTATGGAATCTAAAAAGAAAGTGCATCTATTAAAACGCATTATATGATTTGGAGTCATGTTGAACACAAAGAAACTGGTCAACAGATGTACTTTTATTGCAATGTAGAGGAAATCACAACAGCTGCACATACACTGTAAAAATATTTCATCATATCTTCTGGCAGTTTTGAAAGAATCTGTGATTCAGTCTATTGTGCACACCTGTGGTAATTTTCCTTACCTTTTATTAAAACTGCCTACAGTGGCAATGTAAGCTGTTGATCTGTGATCTGTACTAATGCTGACAAACACATACACATAACCTATATAGAGAAAAGTACAATATATTCATTAGACAAATAATCAGCAAACAAAGATGAGTAACTTCTCCATGTTGCAACAATACATGACACGTTAGAGGAGATGAACATAATCTGCATAATATAAAATGCAGGTGTACTCTGAGCATGATTTCTAGAATTATGTAATCAAATTAAAATCAAAAATGGGTTACAGCTTAATTGGACAAAGATTTCTCTTTAGGTACAGTAACATGCTCTGCTTCAGTTCTGCAGTTTTCAGTCCATATATAATTGGGTCCAACAAAGGGGGAAATATTAAAATTGACACACCAAGAGCCCTTCTGATGAAAGGGGATGCACCCTCAATACGATGAGCAATGAGTGTAAAGGTAGTATTGATTTGTAAAATTAAGAAAACAACTAAATGTGTACCACATGTCTGAATGGCTTTTCTCCGGGCATCTGTATGATTAGTCATGACACATGTACGCAAGATCTGTGCATATGTGTATATTAATATCAACAGTGGTCCACCCTGAAGCACAATTATAAAAACTATTCCATAGTAGTTGTTCAATTTGGTGTCCTCACAGACCAGTTTCAATAATGATGGATTGTTACAGTACAAATCCACTATATTTGTCCTGCAAACTTTAAACCGCACAAGTAAAACAAACAATGTAACAATAATTACGACATTTATAGTCCATATTGCAAAAATAATTCTGATTAAATTATGTGGACTCATGATGGTATTATACCTTAAAGGACAACATATAGCAATGTACCTGTCATATGCCATGGCAGTCAAGATCAGCAGGTTTCCTGTACCATAAAAGTGAATCAGAAAACCTTGAGTAATACATGCAGGATATGAAATCAGCCTGTTCTGTGTTGCAATGCTGAGAAGAAGCTGAGGAAAAAAAGCTGTAGCACCCAACATGTCACTAATGGGCAAGTTGAACAGCAGGATAAACATGGGCTTGTGTAGCTTTTTACTCACAGCAATAGTTGTTAAAACCAACATGTTGCAAAATACAATAATAAAATAACTAAGTGCACCAAATACAAACGCTGGATAAATATCTGTAGCAGATAAACCCAATGGTGCCAGTGTTAGAAATTCCCCAGCAGATGCATTTGAATACATAATCACACCGTCTTCTTTAGGTTGTTGCCTCATCTATTGAAAGAAATATGTTTCTCAATACTCTTGCAAACTGATGAAGGATCCTCACCTGAAAGAAATGTTTTTGTTAACAAGCAAAATTTAAATAAAGTTTTATGCATTGATTCAAATGTACTTCTGGTTTCATACCTGTTGCAGTATGTTATCTCATCCTCACTGCTCTGAGTTGAAGGAGCACTGAAAAGACCCTGCCTTTTATTGCCATTTACCATCAACACAAAGATGACTCATGAGGTTAAAGAGCACAATACGTCAGCTGGTGTGACCAAACTGACATCATGAGAGAAACATATTTATCATGCAATGTGGTTTCAAATTGCAGAAAACTAATGACATAATGAAAAGTTCTCTGAAATATAATTTATTGTGTTACTATTTTAAACTCCTGTCCCCTGGTTTTATATATGTATAGAATATACAGTACAGGCCAAAAGTTTGGACACACCTTCTCATTCAATGCGTTTTCTTTATTTTCATGACTATTTACATTGTAGATTCTCACTGAAGGCATCAAAACTATGAATGAACACATGTGGAGTTATGTACTTAACAAAAAAAGGTGAAATAACTGAAAACATGTTTTATATTCTAGTTTCTTCAAAATAGCCACCCTTTGCTCTGATTACTGCTTTGCACACTCTTGGCATTCTCTCCATGAGCTTCAAGAGGTAGTCACCTGAAATGGTTTTCCAACAGTCTTGAAGGAGTTCCCAGAGGTGTTTAGCACTTGTTGGCCCCTTTGCCTTCACTCTGCGGTCCAGCTCACCCCAAACCATCTCGATTGGGTTCAGGTCCGGTGACTGTGGAGGCCAGGTCATCTGCCGCAGCACTCCATCACTCTCCTTCTTGGTCAAATAGCCCTTACACAGCCTGGAGGTGTGTTTGGGGTCATTGTCCTGTTGAAAAATAAATGATCGTCCAACTAAACGCAAACCGGATGGGATGGCATGTCGCTGCAGGATGCTGTGGTAGCCATGCTGGTTCAGTGTGCCTTCAATTTTGAATAAATCCCCAACAGTGTCACCAGCAAAACACCCCCACACCATCACACCTCCTCCTCCATGCTTCACAGTGGGAACCAGGCATGTGGAATCCATCCGTTCACCTTTTCTGCGTCTCACAAAGACACGGCGGTTGGAACCAAAGATCTCAAATTTGGACTCATCAGACCAAAGCACAGATTTCCACTGGTCTAATGTCCATTCCTTGTGTTTCTTGGCCCAAACAAATCTCTTCTGCTTGTTGCCTCTCCTTAGCAGTGGTTTCCTAGCAGCTATTTGACCATGAAGGCCTGATTGGCGCAGTCTCCTCTTAACAGTTGTTCTAGAGATGGGTCTGCTGCTAGAACTCTGTGTGGCATTCATCTGGTCTCTGATCTGAGCTGCTGTTAACTTGCGATTTCTGAGGCTGGTGACTCGGATGAACTTATCCTCAGAAGCAGAGGTGACTCTTGGTCTTCCTTTCCTGGGTCGGTCCTCATGTGTGCCAGTTTCGTTGTAGCGCTTGATGGTTTTTGCGACTCCACTTGGGGACACATTTAAAGTTTTTGCAATTTTCCGGACTGACTGACCTTCATTTCTTAAAGTAATGATGGCCACTCGTTTTTCTTTAGTTAGCTGATTGGTTCTTGCCATAATATGAATTTTAACAGTTGTCCAATAGGGCTGTCGGCTGTGTATTAACCTGACTTCTGCACAACACAACTGATGGTCCCAACCCCATTGATAAAGCAAGAAATTCCACTAATTAACCCTGATAAGGCACACCTGTGAAGTGGAAACCATTTCAGGTGACTACCTCTTGAAGCTCATGGAGAGAATGCCAAGAGTGTGCAAAGCAGTAATCAGAGCAAAGGGTGGCTATTTTGAAGAAACTAGAATATAAAACATGTTTTCAGTTATTTCACCTTTTTTTGTTAAGTACATAACTCCACATGTGTTCATTCATAGTTTTGATGCCTTCAGTGAGAATCTACAATGTAAATAGTCATGAAAATAAAGAAAACGCATTGAATGAGAAGGTGTGTCCAAACTTTTGGCCTGTACTGTACATAAATGTTATATATATTAAATCTATACTTGTTGAATTTGAAAACTTGATGAATAAAGTAAATCATTAGGCATTATGTACTGTTACATTTTAAAAAAGTGCCGGCGAGAGAGTAACAGAGACAGAAAGGTTTCAATGTTGTAATTTTGTGATTTTGCAGTCTTGAGAAACAGAGGATTGTGGGGATTTAAATTAATTTATGCTGCCTTTATCATTGACAACAAGACTCCAGCTGACACTTTGAGTGGGCTGAACTCACAGAGAATGCCTTTACATGTCCAATTCAAATTTATGCAAGTGAAAAAATCATTTATATTTAATCTATATTTATTTTCTCCCACAGAAATAAATTCAACATTAAAAAATGACAAATCTAGTCTTGATATTTTGGAACGCTGAATTTATATTCATTTGAACTTCTCCTGAAAGTCTGTCGTCAGTCTTATGTCCAGATATTTCATCCCCAGTGGTAGCCAGGGGAGAGACCCAAGGAGACTTTTAGTTAGATATTAAATGGTATTCAGAAGAGTATGAAGGAAAGGACAGAAGCCAGATTACTTCTCCGCAACCCTCCAGGTGTGTTTATATGACATCAGCCCATGTTATAATGATACTGTCTGATCAAGCTGTTAACCCATCGGAATCACACACAGTGCCAAAGCAGTTGTCAACAGCTGTCAACAGACTCTTATTTCATTGGTTGCACAATAAATGGAAACATACAGATAAATGTACATGATAAACCTTCACAAAGGAGCAAGCTAGTGCAGAATTGATGTTTGCTTGGCAATAGTCCAGTCCCAGTTCAGTTGCAAAATAATTTGTGGTGGCAGTGCCAAATAAGTCATTGACCCTTACATACTTTTCATATTCTTTACCTTCACAATAAGGTCCAGGTCACTTTTGACCTGGTCCAAGAATCCCCATATAACAAATGTCTATACCAAATTTAAACCGTCTGTGTAGAATATATAAACAGCTTATCTGACATCAATAAATGAGCGATTAATTCTTAATTGTTTAGGGTTTTTTGTTCTTTTTTAGGTTTTACACCACTCATTTATGGAAAAAAACATCTACTACCACACAGTATCATGTCCCATTTTGCCTGAGATAGAAAAACATAAAAGCCTTAATGAATCTAAAAATGCCCAGACCATTCTGGAACTTTGGGGTGTACTATATAACCATTTATGACCATTACAGCCATCAGACACTATCATCAATGCTACTGTATATCATAAGAAATCTGTATAACTATGATCTAATTATAACTAAACTAAACACAAAAAGTAATGAAATTTGTGTTTGGTAGATTATTTCTTTGTTGTAACAATGCTCTTGGGCAATACATCTTATATCGTTGGTAAGCCTGTTTATTTCCCTTTTAAGTAGTGCCACATTTGTAAGGAACATGCATTTGTGGGATGAGCAGCAGAGCTGAGTAAGTGGGTTCCTCCCTTATATATGCCAAGTCTTCTCTACCAATGGCAAACAGCTTTTATTTACTGTTATTTGCTGTTGCACAGGTGAACTGTGAGCATGGGCCCTGCTACAGTGGACAGTTGGTGGCTGCTCCAAGAATGGGCATGCCATGTTTGACTGATCTGGATAGGGCTCGTGTAATAGGGAGACTTCAAGCTGGTGTTCCGCAAAACCAAGTTGTGGCATTATTTGGAGTGAGCCCTAGTACCATCTGCAAACCGAACACGAAGTGGGCGTCCCAAGAAGACGGCACCCCAAGAAGACCATTTCCTCATCCTGTCTGCAATTAGGAACCGTAGGCAGTCTTCTACAGATTTGCAGTCAAGGTTTGCAGGACGATATGGCCGACGGCTCTCTGCTGAGACAATCCAGAACAGACTGCACGCAGCCAATCTCTGGTCTCATAGGGCTGCCAGGAACCCTGCCATGACTGCCCTTCACCGTCAGGTCCATTTGCGCTGGTGTTGGCAACACGTGCGCTGGAACCTCAACACGTGGAGGAACGTTCAGCGATGAGTCCAGATTCTGCCTACAGCAGTTGGATCGTAGGGTCAAAGTGTGACAAAGATGCGGAGAACGCTTTGCTGATTGCTGCACTGATAGAGTAACATCTTTTGGTGTAGGCAGTGTGATGGTGTGGGGCAGCATCTCCCTCACTGGAAAAATGAGGCTTGTCATTATTGGAGGCAATCTCAGTGCAGAGAGATATCAAAATTAAATTCTGCAACCAGTGGCAATCCCATATCTCCACAGTCTGGGACTGAACTCTGTCCTCCAAGATGACAATTTTCTCCCCCACAGAGCGGGGTTTATAAGAGACTACCTCCAGAACTTGGGAGTGGAGGGCTGGAATGGCCTGCCAGCAGTCCTGACCTCAACCCCATTGAACAGGCTCCTGTTTGTTAAATAAATAAATTGTTAAATTGCCATACATGTCTTGTTTCTTCAGATTTCAGTCATCCAACCCACCAAGCAACACCAAACAAGAGTCAACAGCAAAAAAAAAAAAAAAGCTGTTTGGCATTGGCAGACAAAATATGGCAATTTTCATGGGCGCAACCCACATACTCAGCTCTGCTGCTCATCCCACAAATGCATGTTCCTTACAAATGTGGCACCATTTAAAAGGGAAATAAACAGACTTTCCAACTGTATTAGATTTAAACACAAATTTCCTTACTTTTTGTGCTTAGTTTAGTTCCTGTACTTGTACTTCAGTACTTGTGTGGATCACATCTATGTCTGTGCTAGTAGCTCGCTGAAGTTTTACTTTTGTGTGTTTTGTATCATGGTGATCTGAATTTCCTTTGACTTTCTGACTGTTGGTTAGACAAGACACGACATTTGTGGACATCACCTGATAGATCATTACTGCTGGGTCACACTTTTTAGTAACCTGCAAGTCTGTCCTTCTCTTGACTGCCTCAACTGCCACTAGCTTAGCCTGGTTTGTTTATGCAAGCTGGCTGCCTTTCTTATGGTTTAGGCCTGAAACAGCTAACTTTTCATCATGGCTGTGTGTCGACATTGCCAGCCAGCATACTCACTGTTGTAAGATGACTTCAACTGGTTGAAGCGGGACCCAAAGGACAGGAATGAGCTAATCCTGGGGTCTAATCCTG